TAGGCAGCGCTTCCGCATGGCATCCGCAGGAATGAATGAATGAATGGACGCAGCCTCTTGATTTATACTTCGGTGCTGCATTGGTCTGCCTTGTGTCCCTGGCCCATGGTGCACACAGTTCCCCCGTTGGTACTTGCTGGACCGGACTGGTACCTTCTGGACTTTCTCCAACATGGGCTTGCTTTAGTCACACCACTTGCCCACTTGCCCACTTGCCTCTGCTGACTAGGCTAGGTGGACTGCCACCACTTGACCACTTGCCTCTGCTGAACACAGGTCAACTCCGAAAGGCCACTTCTAGAAGCCTCGAACTTGGCCTTTCGGTACTGTAGCAGCTACGACTTTGCCCCTTCAGGTAAGTAGCAGCCACGACCTTGACTCTTCAGGCATCCTACAGCTACGACTTCGGAACTGTCTAGACTCCTATTCTACAGGTCTACAGTTCGATTCCTTTCTACCCTGTGACCTACAAAACCCTGCCTACCACTGGCGGTCCTACAGGTCGCGGGTTCAAATCTATGGGTTGACATCCATACTGTACACAGGTAAGTTGGGGAATTAGGGATCGAGCCCTGGGATCTGTCTCAACTACCACGAATTGGTGAATACCGTTTCATTTCTGTGGCGATCAGGTTTGAGGGAACAAATCTTCATGTCTCTTCTATTTTTCTTTATCTTGCTTATGATTTTTCCTTCCTTATCCTTCCCTTTTGTTTCTCTCTTTCCCTTTGTGCCGCTTCATCCTCTCCTTTCTGGTTTGTCCTCCTTGAGCACATGTTTTGCTGATGAGGGAATCTCACTTGACGCAAGAATCCATGCGCATGTGTCAAGTATCGGTAAGATCGCACATGGAAAGAGAAAGGTGCGCGTGCATGTACCACAGATGGGTGTGTGGGCACGTCCCTGTCAACCACACGAAGATGGGGAACCATGTGCCTGTGCTGAGTGTGCTCCTCGGTTACAATTTGCCGCTGAAAATATGTGTCACTGTGCTCGTAAAGCAACTTTTTTTTTTTTTTTATGTGCCTGTGCTCCTTGGTTACAATTTGCCGCTGAAAATATGTGTCACTGTGCTCGTATGGAGCCTCCCCCAGGTGTTAGTGGTGTCTGCTCTTATCAGCAGCACTAACACTGGCGGGGGTGTTTCCATAAATATTAAAAAAAAAAAAAAAGGAACTTTTTTTTTTTTCACTTTTGGTAACAAGCAAGCAAGTTTGGACTCTCTGCTGCTGAAATGGAGGATGTGCTGTTTGAAAACAGTGCCGTTGTTTACAATTCACACACGCGCACGCACAAATGCACACACACGCACACACAACCACTAACACGCATGTTTGCAGCCTTGCGCACACGGACACATACATCCCGCCTCTTTCCGTGGATGTACGCATCCGTCGCAAGATGCCACCACACATTTGCGTCCAGTTACGTAACTTTATAGAAGTGGTGCTTAATGTAACATGCCATATGCGGCCACCGTAAACTACGCTATTGTTCAAGATACATTTGTGGTCCTCGATGTCTCTAACAATTTCCGTACAGCGTGGACATGCTTCCCGATCTTGACAACCGCCCTTGTCAACAAGCATGTCCACACTGTACTGGCATTGTCGTCAACGATGCGGCCACTGTAGACTATGCGATTGTACAAGACACATTAGCGGGCTGTCTTCTGTGAAGGCTCCAAGTATCGCATCAATGCGAGCAGCTTGGATGTGACGAAAGCACTGAGGCTCGGTCTGGCTGAGTATGTTTCCAAGCCTATAGCAATCATGAGATCAGCATCCACTACGAGTCGGTATTGCTTAGTCTTATATCCCACTTGTGGGGGTGGCGGACTGCGATTCTCTCGAGATGCCAACATAATTTTTTCACTTTGGCGCACCAGGCCTCTATGCAGGCTGGCTCCTGAGCTGCAAACACATCTCCTTGGCAGCGACTGAGCAGCATTTAGGAATTGTAGTATTGTACCAGTTCAATGAAACGACGCACAGTCTTCCAATCTGCTGCGAACGCCAGGATGCACACACGTCATCACAGCATCTTGACAGTCTGACATATAGTCAATATATTGGAGTCTGTGGCCAGCAACCTCGAGGGCCTCACACTTAGATCAACACCAGGGGCTATCACGACACTGACACCCTCCCTCGTCTCTGCTTCGCACTTAAGGCATGCAAATTTCCACCTGCTCTCAAGGCCAATCCTTGGTGTCACACAGCGGAACAATCTTTTCCCGTTCGGCACCTCACTGCTAGTCACCCTTCAGTCGCTGTGGGACTTTCATTGTAGGCCCACTTGTGAGCAGCCCCACTTGCGAACCTCTTGCAAGCATAACAATGTGCGCTTGCTTGATCAGCTGCGCTTTTCTAAGGAGTGATAAGGTCTCTTTGCGGGATAATGATCGTTATCAAGAAATTTGCTTATGATGGTACTGGATTCTGCAAAGTGTCGAGGAGGTCGTTTTGGATCGCAAGCAGAACGCACAGTCGCTTTGCAGTTCTCTGACGCTGAGGATTTAACCATAATATAATGTACACAACCTGCCACATGATAGGACCCCTAACAATGTGCTAAATGCTCCTTCGTAAACCATCCGTCTGGGCACACTAATATTGGACCATGTATCGCCCAATCTCGTGCGCTATGGGATGGGGCGCAGTTCATTGATGAACTTGTGTCACTAGGACCGACATGCAGATCGAGCATATGCATCCAGGTATGGTTCCATTGACAACATCCTATCCGGGAACAAATCTTTTCCCCGAAAGACAGTACTGAGTAAGATGGGTCATTTCTCTTAATGGGGCACCTAACTCGGTTGGCGCAGACAGCTGACGTCACATTTGCATGTCTGCTAAGGCTGAGGCTTGGAGATTACCTAGTGCCACTGCCCCCAGCTCATTGCCCCACAAGTACGCTCAGGGGACAGCTGCCGAGGGGTTAGAGCATATAGTACTAGTGGCTTTAAAGGTGCAGTGACTCCGCCACAGTGTCGTACGAAGAGGTTTGAGTGCTTATGTGCACGGTGGGCATGCCACCCGCCTTACAACCTGGTTTTGCCGCATGGCGTGCCGGTCACGCGCCCATCCACTCCCGAAGGACCCACACGGCAATTTTGAGCACGGGCAGCATCAGCGCTCGACACAGCCACACCTAGTGGTCCCGTCTTGCCATCCGAGTCGGATTGGCACTACTAATGTCGATGCGGGATTGGCTATACTAATGTGAATGCCGCAATTTAGCTCAGAACTTGAATGCTGCAATTTAGCAGATAACATGAATGTTGTTGAACTGGTTGGAAAGGATGATACCATGCACCTACCATTATGGCAGGATAGGATGATAGTGTGCACCTACCATGAAAGTGTACCCTCAACAGGTCTGCATAGCCGAGTTGAGTGCATGCCTAATCGATCGCCGCCCTCTATCACGTCAGTGTGGAGCACTGGCTTGATGGTTGTTCCCGTTGCCCCTCCCCGGGGAGGTGCACCAAAGACAAGGTGCACCCACCTGTGCGGCATTTGCACAACTAGCAGCCATTCTGAGGACAAGTGTGGATGATGAGCGGCCGAATCTTGATGCGTTCAACCCCCCCCCAGATGATCTCTATCTGGAATGCATTCCAGAGCCAATGGACTTGTGACAGCTAGAGGTGCTTGGCAAATGCTGTCAAAAAATGACCAAAGTGAACCTACCCCTGTCGTGGAATCTATAGAATGAAAGGATGTCATAGCCCTAAAATGAGGCCAGTGTGCGGACGAGGCCATAAGTGTGTGTCTCCTCGCTTACAATTGCAACTCCTATGCTGTTTCTAATTTTTGATTATTTTTCAGACATTGTCCGTTCCATAAAAGGGGAGCACCCGTTGTCCGCCCAGAGATTGACAGTACCATGGCTGGCATGAACATTGCAGTACAGACTGTGTTCCTTATGCTGATTAGATGGTTTCTGCTACGGAGATGGTCGTTGTGCCATGCCACAGTTTGGTTAGCATGCACTTGGTGGTGAAATCTTTGCTCCGAGGGATGGTCACTGCCGGCCACCGTTGCAATGAATGTGACCCATTGGCTTGCAGTTATCCCCCCCTTCCTTCATTGCGCACCCAATACGCCTTTGTGGCCGTGTTTGAATAACTGTGAATATCAGCGTCCAGCACTCGATCCTCTACGAAAATAATCAGTCCCATTACCTTCTTACCCCAGAAAAAACATATGTACATTCTAATCGAATTACCTTCGAAAAGCGGACTTTTAGAAATCGCTCTTTTTATTTTAATAGAATGTAAAGTCGAATACGCCGTACGTATGTTGTATTTGAATAAAACATAGGTACGATGCATCTGAAGGCTGTGACACTTGAGATGTTTTTCACTATTTTAAAAACGTTCAGAATAATTAAGAAAAAGAAAAAAGAAAGTTGAAGAACAATACCAAACGAACATCTTTTGCCTGAGAGTATTGTTAAAATTTGCTACCAAAATTGAGAGGGGTGGGGAAGTCTGGAAAACAGAGTAGAATGTTCAGGTCTTGTTTTTTTTTTTGTTCCTCCCACTGAAATAGGCATATATTTCCACTTGACGAGATGAGGCTGGGGTCCTGTTGTATATTCGAGAGCCGCTCTCTAATAACCCAAAATTCAAATACAACGTAGGTATGTTGTATTCGAACACAACGTACCCGCTACTACCCGGTAAAGGGCCAACCTGGAAAAGTTGTACCTCAAAATTCGTGCGTACGTTGTATTCGAATTCAACGTGCCCCGTTCGTTGTATTTGTGTACAACGTACGTAGTTTTTGGGGGGGGTAAGAAGGTAGTAGTGTACACAAATGACTGAATACAGTGAATAGTACATGTCTTTAAAGTTAAAGGACTAGAGTCCTAACCCAGGAACTTCGTTGTGCACGAAGCTATAACGCATACCGAAGTAAGAACAAGTGCAGTATTTATAAAACAAAAGCAACTCTATTGTTTTCTTTTCTTTCAATCAATTAATTATTTTCAGATCTCCAGCTGAGCTTTGTATTTTAACCGGTTTCTAAACTACTTTTTTAGAGTTGCAGCGTGTATGTAGTTTCGACTTTCAGGAAGTTATGGGATGCCATTTCATTGGATATCCATCCAGACATTACCGGTCACAGGTGACGCCTGCTTTACCTTGATGGACACCCAGCGAAAGGCCCCCCGGTACTTTTTGAGAGTCGCAGTTTGCATGCACGCCGCAACTCTGAAAAAATGGATGGCAACTAGGCTACAAAAAAACGGCCGAACGAGTCCGGAAAGGATTTGCCAGATTTCGTCCAGATCCCGTCGCCACCGCGAAAATGGGTACTGGAAATGGCACCACCTCCCTGAAAAGGAAAACCCGAAGGGGTCCCTTCCGAATAGGCAAGTTCGGTAAGGACTGTCCATCACAAAACGGCCCTTGAGCCATCGACTGGACCGCACTCTCATCTCCTTCGATGCTATCGGAGAAAATGCCCCCTCCCCCTTAGTCAATTGGACGCCCTCTTTGGGAAAGGAATGCTGGAACTTGGCCACAATTTTCCAGGCCNAAAATGCCCCCTCCCCCTTAGTCAATTGGACGCCCTCTTTGGGAAAGGAATGCTGGAACTTGGCCACAATTTTCCAGGCCCCTGACCGTGTAGAAAAGCCCCGTCA